CTATTCCAGCTCTCCATGCAGGCTCCCCGGCCTTGGGAGAGAGCTGGGAAGGCACTTGGGGCCCCACGGCCAGCGCCCCACCTGAGCAGGCTTTTCCACCCAGCTGTTCTGCATCCCTGCCTGCGTTCAGTAGGTAAGCAAGGACCCTGGCATGCTGGGCCCAGGAGCTCACCCACACAGGTCAGCACAGAATGCCAAATGTTCAAATTCCTGTGGTGTCCTTCTAAATGGGCTGCCGTGAGTGCAGCATTCACAGGTCGGCTGCTTGGAGGTTTGGGTGTACTAGTCTGCATGGTTCCTCCGGGCCACACTTCACAAGGGCATTTTTTACATTGCCAAATAAGATGGAGGGAGTTACTACTTTAGTTTTACTCTAGACTATTCTGATTTATTTTCATTGAGAGTTCTTCATCAGAAGGTTTTGTGAGGCATATTGCATTTCCACATTTAGACATATCTATCTTTCAACTTTAGTTCAACAGGTACCTGGTTCCCTACCCAGGTCTGGAGTCTAGGACTCAGGGGGATGGTTCCAGGATAAAGCCAAACAACAGTCAGGGACCAATATAGATCTGTTAAGGGGCACTTTCCAGGGGTTCAGAAAGTCTTCTTGGGCAGGGCACTAGATGGTCAGCTTGGCCCTGATAAATGAAAGTTTGATTCATGTCCTATAGTAAACAGTATAAAGTCACAGTGCTGCAGCTCCAGACCCTTACCAGGGGTGGGGTGAGGGTGGGGTGTGAGTCCTTCTGAGCTCAGCACTAAGCCAAACATAGTTGGTATTTCAAGAATTACCTCAGGAGTGTTTTTAAAATTCCCCAAATCAGGTTAGATATTATACTATTATTTTTGTTTGTTTTAAGTAATAAAGTAAAACTTTGATTAACTGGGTCCTTCAAATAAGTAGAATTTTATATGCAGCAGACTTTGTTGTGAAAGGCAAGTCAGAAACACGCACGCGCGCGCACAGACTATTATTTTTTTAAAGAATTCAAGATAGCCAAGGAGCAATAATCGGCTGCCCAACTTCCCCTCAAGGCCACAGTGGGCCCTGACTAAGCCATACATTCTCTGGGGACTGTACTTTGTACCACTCTGCATTCCCTTCTGGTTCTAACCCAGAGCCTTATGCATTTTAGGGTGTTGGCTATTTGGCAATGGGTTAGATGCTGGATGTGTCTGCTGGTGTTGGTGGTGTGGTTAGGTTTGAAATCATCCTCCTGTTCCTTGTTGAGTGCTTTGGAGTCACACAGAATTGGGTGAACAACAATCACCAGTGGTATCAACTAGGGCAAATTGCTCAACCCTCCACTTAATTTGTGGGTTGTAAGAATCAGCAATTAAATATTTAGGGTCTGGCAGCTGCTGTTACTGTTGTTATTTTCTGGTCTTGAAAGTAGAAGTTTCCTGGCTGGCCGGTCACCTTTCTGTGGTCGTGAGCTCTCCTGCGAGTTGTAATTGCATCTCTGTTAGAGGAGTGGCTCCTATTCTGTGAGCGGCCTCCCGTAAGGAGGTGCTGTTTGAGCTGGATCTCGAGGGTGGAATAGGTGCTTCAAGGCAGAGAGGCTGCATGGAAAAGTCCTTCCAAGCACAGGGAACAGAGTATGCGAAGACTCGAGCGTGAGGGCAGAGGGTATGGGAAGAAATTTGGGCATGGCCCAAGTTGGGGGTATTCGTGATGGCTATGAACAGACCTGTGGGAGGCCAGCATGTGGGCAGGAGTCAGAGCACAGAAGACATTGCAGCTGAGGCTAAACTTGGGTTATCAGTAATGGAGTCCAGTCGATATTTTAGTGCAGTTCTTCTTTTCTTCATTAATTTTATGTAAGTTTTCAATGAGTCTTTGAACAAAATAGTTCCCTTTTAAAAATTAGGTTACTGCACCTGGAGCCAGCTGTAGGGTGTGAGGAGAACACCTGCTGGCACGAGACTGCTGACCCAAGTCATGGTAGCATTTGGTGTCTTAGCCAGCAGGAGGTCTCACCTGGCTGACCCCTCTGCGCTCCGCATCAGGTCAACGATTAGACGGATTGAAATGTAGCCAATGCTGGTTTGTGCACGCTTTTTCATCACCGTGTTTTTGCCTCTGGATGTCTCCTGTCCAGTGACTCTGTAATAACTCTGGCCATGGACTGTGGCAGCTCGTGAGTGAAGCGTGTTCGTGAACTCAGCTCTGTGCTGGAGCAGCCTGGAGATGCGCAGGCAGTGTTCGGCAGCGTAGGGACACTCGTCCCGGGGCTGTTTCCGGCACTGCTTCCCACCTCTGAGCCAGCTGAGGTTTGGGGAAAGGGTGAGAAGGCAGCACCACCTTGCCAGGCCCTCTCCCCAAGCTGTGTGTTGAGCATCCCCCCCCCCCCCCACCCCCGTGTGTCAGAGAAGCTTGGCAGGTGTGTCGCAGCGCACAGACCTGCTGCTGGCTGGAGGGCTGGAATCCCTGCCTGTGCTCTGGGCTTTCCTGCTTCTCTCCTCTGCAGACATCTCTCATGCTGTCCCTCTGGCCTCACTCCCAAGTGTCCTTTCCATCCTTGGAGCTCAGCGGTTCTACTATTGTTCTTCCTGTCTGGTTCCCTTAAATCCAGCCCACACCTTTTCAACTCCATATCCTGAGTCAAGTGTTTGAAAGCTGTTATTTCATGTTAATTAGAAGTTCTTTTTCCAGCCAAAAAGCCTTGCACAGAACTGTTCCCCCAAGCTGAAGCTTAGATGCATGCTTTGGTGTTTTGTACTTTGGGTGCAGTGAAAGGGCTCGTGGTAATTGCCGTGAAAGCTGCACCGCCACCCACCGGGCAGGGGAACCTTCCCACCCGCTCTGTGGCCCTCCTCTGAGCCTGGCCGAGCCAGAGGGGTTCCGCATGCCTGTAAGATCCTCCCTCCGTGCAGTGCCAGCGGCATGGCCTTCTGGCTCACCACTGTCCTGGGGTGTCTCCCCTGGTACAGTTGCCTAACCCCTCATCCAGAGGAGTTTCTGGGCCTCTGGGTAGAGTCCACCAAGGTGGATAGGTGACCACTGGCAGGTATCACTGCCTTTAACAAGCCTCCCATGGGACCTGAATTTGGTGGAGATTCTGGGGGGAAGGGACTCCTGCCACATTCTGGACTCTGCAGAACCAGCTTCCAGTTCCTTTAAAAACCCCTTGGGACACCCAGAGTGGCTGCCATTCCCCATAAGTGGCCCCAGTAAGGCTTCAGGGAAACTTCAAGCTGTGAAGCATAGGCCAAACCCCTTCTCACATCTGGCCGTGCTGCTCTCTGCCCTTCTGCTTCTAGGCCAGACACTGTGTCCTTCCCACCACCAGGGCCATCGTCCCATCAGCCCAGGTTCTGCAAACCCTGGTTGAGGTGGTTGCTGCCTAGAACCCCCTGGGAACCACCAGAACCCCTTAGGCTCCCTTTGTTCCATGCAGAGGAAGTGGTTGGTGCTGACCCAGTCCTGAGCTTGGGTGGTGACAGCAGGACCATTCTCATTCATCACTTGCAGTGGGAAGAGACCTGGCTCCTCAGGGACCTCCGGAGAAGGCTGTCTCACCTGCAAGGTCAAGGAACTCTCCTGTGTATTTGAGATTGCTGGCAACACATCTCCATCTCCTGTGGTTTACAGAGAAGTTGTCCACAAGCAGATGTTGAGGAAAGGCCTGTAGACCTCAGCACAGTGCAAGGCTGTGAGGGGAGGACAGGGAGAGGGGTCAAGGCTCTGACCGTCATGAGGAAAATCACTTCCAGAAAACACATGGCCAGAGGGCAGCTACACAGCCTTGGCGTATAGGACACACCTGCCAAGAGAGGCCTGGCACACAGCAGACCTTCAGTGACTGCAGCAGTCGCTACCTCCCTTTAACCACAAACACCAGCCGCTCTGGGCCTCACTGGGTAGAAGGTGCAGATGTGGCAGTGGCATCACCAGGAGACCTAGTCACTGACGCTGGGCTTTAGCTGCGCCGAAGAGGAGCTGGAGAGAGGTGGACTGGTAGAGACTGCTCTCGCGATGCGGCGTACATAGCAATGGGGCTCAAGAAGCATGGTGTCTGGCCAGTGGCTTGCATTGGCAGGACTAAAGCATCCCATAGGATGTGAGGCATGGGAGGGGATACATGGCACCGTGAGAGGAGAATAGCCAGGGGTGGTGTCTCTGGGGGCTAGAGAATTGGGACATGTTGCTGCAGGCAGTAAGAATCATTGCTGGGACTAAAAAGATTGGGTTTCTGAGAGCTGGACAGGAAGACCACTGGGAGGGAACCTGGCCCCGTGCTGGGGCTTCCTCCAGGACAGTGAGTGGTGGTGAGTCCAGGGACCAAAACCCTGAGGTCTGCAGCCACACAGGCTGATGTCCACAGACAGACAGCAGACTCTGGGGCTGGGTATGGCTGCTGGGCCAAGAAAGTGAAGGTTCTGAGCTTAGCACTCAGGAATGGAGGGAGGCTGAAGCCAGTGGTGGGGACGAAACTAGGGAAAAGACGCCTTGGTGACTCTGGGGTGTGTTACTGGGTAGCCCCCGAATAGCAGGCTGGGCCGACCCAGCAGGGAGCGCCTGCTCAGCACCCCTTTGTGTGCCTTCAGGCCAGGCTTTCCAAGCTTCCCAGATGATAAGCAGCGCAGAGGGTTTTCTGTAGATATTTATATCAGTGGAGTCACATCCCTTGTGTAATTTTGTAAATAAATCAACACTCACTTTTAATGATGTTTCATAGATAAGTTGGTTTTGTTCTAAAAGACATGCTCTTAATAAAATCCCAGTGTTCAAAGTAAAAGTGGCCACTCTGATGCGCTAACCCCACCACAGTTAGTTGCCCTGCACTTGCATTTGCCTCCCTGGTGAGACTTACGCAAAGGCAGACATGGAGCTGGGGTTCTAGAATGCTTGGCGCTGTAGCCACTGCCCCCTACAACACTCAGGCATGTCCCCATTCTGAGTGCAGCTGCCCCTGGCTGAGCCCACCTCTCTGTGTGTTCAAGTGGCAGCCCCCTGGCATGACCTGTGTTGTTCTCTCTGTCTTCCCCTGTAGACTACTGTTTTCCAAAGTGAAGTTGGAGTCCCTCTGCCGGGGCCCAGATGAGGCACTGCTCACCTGTAAGCACATGTTACAGATATGGAAATCCTGCTACAACCTGACCAATCCCAGGTAAGAGGCCAGTGGCGCCTGTTTTGTGTGGCTTTTGCATGGGTCTCCACCTATCAGTACCATCTCTGATAGACCTTTAGTGGGCATCAACATAGTAGGGATGGAGCTTCATGTCACTTTAAGGAACTTCTCTCCCAGAGGCTGATGGGGCCTTCAAGCTATGGGCCATGGTGACCTCTAGGCGCATCTGGTAATGGTGCTTTCTCCAGTTTCTCTCTACCAGCCATTTTCTTAACTTCTGTGACAAGTCTGACCATCTGCCTGGTAATGAGAGTCTATCCTAGTCAGTGATATATATTCCAGGTGGGGATCTTGCAATAGAGCTGAACCTGCACAGTCCTACTAAGGACAGAGGAAATTGTTCTCAGCATGATAAAATATAATTTCAAAAAAATTAAAATCACTTTTCATACAAATATAAACTAAACACATGACAAAGTTTCTACTTACCTCACTAAGTAAGTACAGTGTTAAGACTGGATCAAAGAATAATTTGAAAAACATTTGTATAGGCAGAAATGCTGAAATGAATTTGCAAATAGATGCAAAAAACAGTATCCTATGAGACAATGAAATGCATTGTTTAGGGTTATGTTCTCGACAGGGTAGAGATCAACTGTAGCTCTACCAGACAAAACCCATTTGTCTTATTATCAGTTTTCTGTGGTTAGTTTTTGCCCTTTAAAGCCGTAAAGTACCCCAGTTAACTTTGGCTTCCTGTTGAAGCCAAAGGTGCCACCCTTTAGAGGCAGCCGACCTGGGGAATGGGGACCAGTCACCCCCAGAAGCCCACTGCAGACACCTGGGAAGCCATTTGCCCATTTCTAAGCCTTGGGCACTTTTTCCTGACATGTTTGGGTTACTAAGTGTCCCCTGCCCTGGGGAGGAAGTAATCTAATGCAGAGGGACCCAATGAGTCAGGCGAATTCACATAACTGCTCCTGCACTTGAGCTTTCCAAGTTCATGGCAAGGTGTATGGACAGCCCCTGTTATGCTCTGAAGAATCTGGAGCCTGAAAATGGTAAATGAGCACCAATGGTGTGGGCTGGTGGCCATGGTCTGCAAAGAACTGTGGAAAGGCAAAGTGGGGGTGTAGGTAGGCACCACAGAACAAAGGCAGGGCTCCCTGTGAGATTTTGTTTTACAAAAGCTTCTGCAGTTAAAAAAAAAAAAAAGTAGTGTTCAAAATCAGGGCTCTGTGAAGGGGCTGGCCACTGTGAACTGACCCTAGCTAGAACTGTGACCAGCCTATGGTGGAGCAGCTGAAGGAGGGGCTCAGCCTGGAAAGCCAGCCACAAGGGCTGATGGTCTCCTGTGACTGTGGGTCCTTCTTCCTGGTGAAGTATAATAATGAGGCTGGTCTCTTCCCTCTCATGCAGTTGATCTGACAGTCTTAAGTCTGTAAGCAAAATGGGAAAGCCTATATTTGTCTCCCCCAGGCCCCCACCCGTGGCCTATCAGTAGCATCAGGATTTGGGGAGCCTTTGCCTCCTCACGGAGCTAACAGCAGATACTGCCCCAGCTGGTGGCCTCCGTGCTGGAGCACATCCTTCGCCAGTACCCCCTTTAAAAAGGAGAAAATAAACCCATCAGCTTTCGTGTTGCCAATTTTCCCTCAGCTCTCCACACCTCTCCCACCTCCCCACATTTCCTCCCACTTAGCAACCAAGAATATTGAATGTGAGGAGAAAGAAATAGCAGAATTGGAAAGCTTTTTAAAAATACTTAACCAAATGTTGGGCTCTGACCATACTTCCTCCGTTTCCTGCAGGATCTCTCGGGGCAGAGCAGAAAGGACTCGGCTTTGGGCACAGAGCCTGGGTGGGGTTGGGATAGTGGAGGAGGCTCCTGCAGTTACTCAGAGCTGCTTTTTCCAAAGCATGGGGCGGGGGACAATGGGGTGGGGGGGGGAGTACTGAGCAGCTTCTTATTAAGAAGCTTCCTGTTTTGTTTTATTTTTTAACTTTATTTTCTCTGGGATATAAATATATACTTCTCCAGCAGTCCTTACCATTGGGCAAATTTAGCTGTGCTCCCAGTCTGCTTGGGTAAGCAGTGATCCTGGCCATAGAGGAAATCATAAAGAGGGAGGGCAGTGTGTTGTGAGGTGAGCACACATCCTAGCCTCCAGATGAGGCAAGGTGGGACCAGCAGCCTAGAGGCTGTCTTTGGGTCACACCAGGCTTTAGAAAAGGGTAGAATCGCATGAACAAGTGATCGCATGAACACGAGAAGCATCCCTTCCTAAAAATAAAACAAACTGAAAGCTATGCAGAAAGATTTTGGTAGGAAGCAGTTGGTTTCTGTCTGGAGTAGGTTCATGCTGACTCCCTGGCTCCTGGCCCCCTGGCTTCTGCACATGCGCAGTTGCAGCAGGGCCCTTTGCTCCACCTGCTAGGAAGCTTCCAGCCCTCCCACCTTTTTCCCCTGCTGAGTCCATACAGAGGCTCGGCACAGGCCCCCAGGGCTGCAAGCAGCCTAGGAGGTGGTGGGCAGTCACTGGGAGGGAGTGGCCACACTGAAAACAGACGCTGAGTCCGTGGTCCCTGCAGCTCCTGCCCTCTTTATTTTTGCTCCTGGCCGAGCTGAGCTTGGGAAGCCTTGGCTAGCAGGTCCCCTGTACTTGCAGAATGCAGCTCTGGCTGCAGACTCAGTGGTGGTGGCATCTCCAGCTCACGGTGCCTATGACAGGGTGTTTGGAGCTTCAGAAGCCTTCGTTTTCTTTCCCATGGTCTGCAGTTTTGCTTGCATTTAGGATAGAAATCTGTCTAGTATTTTGTCTAACCTCCCTTAGTAAAATGCAAAGCTCCCTGAGTTCTTGTGAATATTGACTTGGCCACTCAGGACAGTGCGAATCTGACCAGAGTCTCACCAGAAGGCCCCGGCAGGCTGCCTGCCTGGGTAGCACAGCACTTCAGCAAGGCTCGCTAATGACCACGGTTATTTAAATTCACAGTGCCAGCGCTGCACCGGCGTTAATGTGCTACCTTCAATCTCTGCATCAGCCTTGCAAAATAGCTACTGTTATTTCCATCCTGTAGGGAAAAAAAATTGAAGCTAAAGGAGGGTAAATGACTTGCCTCAGTTTGCCCAATTAAATGAGCAGTAGAGCTGTGATTCACAGCCAGGTCTGCCTGACACCAGAGCTCGCTCCATGGCAGGGGGCCGCCTCTCCCAAGGCAATGGCCAGCTTCCTTCCTTCCTTCCTTCCTTCCTTTTTAATTGCTAACTACGTCTTTCCCTCTTCATGCCACTTTGATTCCTAAGTCCTATTTCAGTCACTTACCAACAAATAGCATTTAAAGTTAGTGTGCGCGCGCACACACACACACACACACACACACACACACACACTTACATACTTTCTTTGCTCTGATCTCAGTTGGAAGCTGGAGACCCCATGTCTTGCTCACAGCTATCAGCATTTGGGCAGAGCTTTTCTTTACAGGGACCATTCTTTCATTTCATCTCCAAAGAAGACAGATATAACGGGCAGATGTCATGTTATAGCATACCCATTTTACTGAAGGTAATGTTGAGGCTTGGCTATTTTAGGAACTTGCCTTGATTCTATAGGCCCAGGAAGCCTAGGGATAAAAAAGTAAAAGTTCCTCTCTGTCTGCCTGTGCTCTGCCCTCCACCCCTTTGTCCTCGTATTTGTTGTGTGCCACAAATTTCCCAGGAGTTGAGAAGTGGCAAGAAGTCCAGGGTTCTGACTCCTGGTCCACCACCACCTCTTCCCTCTGGATGGCTGTGGACTGTAAAGATTTCCAGGAGAGGCTTTCAATTTTCGGTGTCACGTTAACTGGCATTACAATATACAGTATATCTGAATCTTCATTCGTGATGAGGAAGAGAAATTCACTGCATGTGTGCATCTAGGCAAGTGGATACCTCAGCTTGTGTGCCACGGCTCAGGGGTCCTTCTGCTTTCCTCACCTAGACCACTTCTCAGCACTGCTGAGCAGGAACGGCTTCTCTCTCTTCCAGCCCACCTCATTTTTTTAGTATGTATAATTTTTTAGTTATAGATGGACACAATACCTTTATTTTATTTTACTTTATTTTTTAATGTGGTGATGAGGATCAAACCCAGGGCCTCACACATGCTAGGCAAGCACTCCACAGTGAACCACAGCCTCAGCCCTAGCCCTCATGGGGAATTGCTCCCATCAGCCTCAGGGCCAGATATAGGAGAGGAGAGATGAGGTGCTGGGGGGTCCATGGGAACTGCCCATGAAGGCAGTGTCCAGAGGGAGAAAGGAAGGTAACTTTCAGTCTGTGTGAGAGAGACTGGCCAGGGAAAACTCAGGAGTCTCCAGAGTTGACCAAGACATTCATTCCCTAGCTCTTTTCCCCATGATCTGTGGGCTTTCGCAAAGGCAAGTCTTGATTGGATAAAACTCTACAACATGTAAATGAAGAACTAAAAATTGGTTAAAGCAACAAGCAAAATGTTTAATCAGTCATAAATACCTAATTATTTTTAGACAGAAAACATTCAGTATGGAACAAAACAGCTCCATTTTGAATGGTCAATTGTTGCTTATATACTGTTTTCGGGGGGAACTATGGAAGGCAAACTGAGGAAATAACTACTCAAAATTTCCCCACTGGTGGAGGGACAAGGGACATGGGCCCTGTGTTGTTGTCAGTGAGCAAGGTTCACAAATCAGTATTATGGGCTCAGTTGGGGTTTCTAGTGTTTGGAGTAGGAGGCCTCCCACGCCTCCCACGGCTGCCCCAGAAGGCAGGGCAGATGTCTCCAGGAAGCAGCCAGCCATGTCAACCCCAGATGCATATTTGGAGAGGGAGTATTCATAATGACACCTGCCATGTGTCACGAAGTCACACCCCTTCAGAATGTTCTGTCTACATCTACAGCTTATTCCCTCCTTACCCAGTTCTATGTAGAAAGATAATCCTTATCCTCAACCTGACCAGGGAAGTCACCAAGGCACAGGGAACTGGCTTTGCTCAAAATGATTACTCCCGAGTGACAGATGTGGGATGGGAACCAAGACCTCCAGCTGGGTTCCAGGACCCACTTTCCGGGTCCTTTCAAAGCAGCACACATGGCAGCCAAACCCATGCTCTGAAGCTTGGCGAAGCAGCACTGCGGCTGAGCCACGTCCCGGGTCTGGCCACCACATGGCCAGGCAGCCCTTCCCCTGCCATGCCAGCTCCTCATTACGCATCCTGGAATCTCCACAATGATGAAAAGTGTCTCTATATTTCGGGACAGTCTCCCATGTAGGGGGCTATTGCCATATTCAGATAATTAACCCTTTGTAATATTTATATCAAAAATGCTACCTGAGCAGACTGGTGCTGGATACATTTAGCCAGATTTGTAATTATTGAAAATGCACATGTTCTTTTATGTCTTCTCCTTAGAGACACTGATTGTTTCTCAGTTGTGGAAATAATTAATAGAGCATTTCCAGCGTGCCTATAGGGATGATGTAATAAGTGCCGGCTGACACAGTCCCACCAAGGACGTTTCCTCCACTTCCTGCAGACGGACCCCTCTGACTGCATCACTGGGCGGGGACACCGCAGCCTGTGAACTGCACTGACTTTCATACCAAACCTTGTTTGTACTGATTTTAGCAGCAGCTGCACAGAGGAAGGAAATTGTGTCCCTTTATTGTAGAATTTGAACTTCTTAACAATAACCAAAAAAACACTTAGAGCCCCCAGATAGATATCGTGACAGAGGCAGGGGCAGGGAAGGGGGAAACAACAGTGTTTACTTAAAAACTTCCCAGAATTGCAAAAAAACAAAGTCTTTGGGGGCTAAGTTCCCTTAACTGTTTGATCCCCGCAGGCCTGGGTGGTGTCCACGCGACTTTGCTGGATGGATGGTGCCAGGAGGGAGGGGGGATTCAGCAGAGGGGGACAGCATTGGGAGCTGGTGGGAGTGGCAAGTGGTTGTCAAGACCCTGCATGTTCTTCCCAAGTCCTTTCAAGTCTCCTCAGCCGGCCTTCTCAGAACCTCAGCTGGACAGGGCCCCAGCTCCAGCTCTGCTGTGACCAGCTCCTTATGTCTCCTCACGGCACTTGTCCCTCAGTATTAAATAGCCTGTCACCCATGCAGTGCATCTCAAGGCTTGTCTTTGGGTCATGTTCGAGCCCATGCCTGCGCTCACCCTCTGAGAAGCAGGCCAGGGGTCCTCAGTTCTAGCAGCTGCAACATAGAACCATCTGAGGAGCTTTGAAATTTGCCCCAGAAATTCCCATTTGTTTGTCTGGAGTGGCCTGGGCATCAGGGGTCTTTAGAAATGTTCTGGCTGTTTTCTCAGGACTCGAGGTTCAGGAATGCCTGTGTGGACTGTTGGCTCATGAAGTCATCTTGGAGGGTGGGGCGTGTCAGGGCTTCCACGGGTCCTCAGTCTTCGTAGCACAGAATAACAACCAGTTTCCCCATCTGGTGGCTGGAGAACCTGGCTTGCAGTTCTCATCTTCATATCTTTTATAATGACACAAGAGACTAAAATGAATTAGGGTCCGTGGGGTGGCTTAAGCACGTTTGTGGTACTGAGTGCTCAAAGAAATCCCAGCCCAGCCTGAGCCAGGAAGCGGGAAGATGCGGAGGCGCATCCAAAGCCCGTCCAAAGGTGTCCACTGCACCTTACTGGCCCAGTGGTACTGGTTGAGTCTCTGTCCCTCCCCTCCCACTTCTCAGGTAACTGACATTCACAGTGTATTTTGCAGTGACTCTGGACGTGGGAGCAGCCTCTTAGACAGAACTATCGCCGACAGACGACAGCTTAACACAATCACTTTGCCAGACTTCAGTGATCCCGAGACAGGTGAGAATCCAAAGTCAGAGGGGACAAAATGGTGTCCAAGAGGACGTGGGGCCGGCCACTGAGTGGAGTGGCCAGGCTGCGGGGCCAGGGTGGGGAAAGCTCTGCTCACAGGTGATGCATAGCTGACGCATGCCCCCCCTGGGCTCCTCAAGCGTTGGGTCACGGTGGGGAAAGGAAGGTTATTTGCTCAGCACAACCCTTTGAAATCTGTTTTCCCTGGCTCTGAAGCTTGAAATGTGAGACTAAAATCAGGTGGTTTCCATGCTATCCCGTTTCCCCTGTTTTTCTGCCTCCCTTTAGGGCTTGCCCACATTGCCCACATCCATCATTCTGATTTCTAGTCGGTTGCACACGTAAACACACGTGTACCCAGAAGGGCCTGTGGGGCAGCAAGTGGGTGCTGAGCTGTTTCATTCCACTGTCCCCACCCCCAATGGCCCGTTACACTTACTGCCTCTGAGCAGAGATTTGTACTTTTGTTTGTGTGCACCACATACGCTACAGTACAGGGAGAATGCCCCCCTAATTTCCACAGCTCCAAATGACTATTCCAGCAGTAACACTGACTATTCAGCGACAATTTGAGGGGCTCAGTAGACTCACAAAACAAAATGAAATTCACTCAGCTTTGAGCCTCAAAGGTAGTTCTAGAACGTCATTTAGAACCCACTTCTCTCTCTTCTCCCCCACCCACAAGGGACCCACTAAGGCTTAATTCCTGTCTGGATATGCCTGGTCTTTAATGGGTTGTCCTCATGAAAGGAATCTCAAAATCCCTTTTCTGTCCTTGTGCCATGTCCCAGTTCCTGACAGAGCCCATCCCCTGGAAAATCCAACCCCAGGCAGGGTAGGGGGAGTAAGGCCTCTGGGAGGTCCCTGTGGCGCTGGGTCCAAGGGGTACTCAGAGCTGCCGCAGACCGCACTCCCACCAGGCTCCCTCCACCCAACTGGAAGTCAGCCTGAGAAGTCAGACCAAGGCTCTGGGGCTCCCAGGTCCAAAGATTTAAGCCAGCTTTCAGCTTCTGTTCAGACTGCAAACTAACCAAACCACAGGAAGTCCTCCACCCCGGGAGAGCCCTGTCCCCTGGATTGGTCAGTCATAGGTGGGCATAGACTGTGCTGTGGAGCAGCACAGCAGAGCTCTGCCTCATGGGTGTGCTCCTTCCCTGCAGCTGATGGACTCCTCACTCTTGGAAATGGAGGGTCAGGCTTTAGCAAGGCTGGGACATAGGGAGGGGAGAGAAGCCAGCGGCATTCACTCTGGCCCCCTGCAGCGACTTACTTGGGCTGATTTACAACAGCTTCTGTGGATGCCCTGGGCTGAGTGCCCCTCTGGCCCCCTCATTAGTGTCCTGTAGGACAGTCATTCTAAATCTAGACCCCATTTCCTTCCAGCTTGCTTGGGTCTTAATTTCCCAAGACTTGAATGCCACATCACATTGAAAACAGATAGTGATGGAAAATACATGAGGCCCTTGTCCATTCTCCCGTTTAATCCCTAGGATGGTTTCCCCAGAACTCCCAGGAGGCTCCTCTTCAGGTTGGACCTTCTCAGATGCCATGTTGTCCAGGGGGCTGGGGCCTGCTGCCCCAGGGTGGGCCTAGCCCATTCCTTCTCCTTAGCCTTGGCCTTAGTGGTGGCTGTGCAGCTGCTCTCCCAGGAGGGTCCCCTGGTCACTCCCCAGGAGCACAGGTGTTGGATTCTGGGCTACTGATTCCCGTGCCCTTTCTGAACAATGAGGAGGAACTGAAGCCCCAGGACTCGGGCCAGCAACCATTTTGTTGTCACAGTTGTTATGCAGAAAGGAATCCCTCCCTTTGGTCAGTCTCCAGTGCCCCAAAATGTTGTTTGAACACCATTGATTGACCTGAGACACCAGGGAAGCAGAGGTGGAAGGCCATGTGAGGGGGCCTAGTCAGTCACAGGCTATTTTATTACAGAGTCAAATATTCTGAAGTGACAGTGTAAGTAAGGGAAACTGAAAGATTGGAAGGCTCCCCGGGAAGTAAAAGGACACTAGTCTGGAGTAATGAAGCCCCGTTTTGCTTAGCTGGGTCTGGGCGTGGTCTCAGGAGAGGCCACCCTCTTACTCACACACCTGTGCAGAAGGCCTGCCTGTGGAGCGCCCTCTCATCTTGACTTTGTTTCAAAACTCGAAATCCACACTCTAACTCTGAATATACCACAGAGAAGTGTTGCTGCCCTCCCTTACCTTTCCCTAGAGGGGCCATTTTTGTTAGCTTCTATTTACCCTCCACTGCTCTTTTGTGTACATAAGCACAGGTGTGCTTTCCCACACTCCTTACGTAAGCAGCCACATGTGGTGTGCGTAGCTCAGCGCCTGACCTTCTTCCCTTCCCAGCAGATCCTGCAGATGCCTCCATAGCTGTCCACAGAGAATTTCCCATCCTGTTTCATAGCTGTGAAACATGACCCCCACCTGTCATAGTCGGGACTCCTACCACCCGGCCTGACCTCGGGCATTTTCCTTCCCTGCAGTCTTCAGCTCAGTGGTGCTCAGAGAGCTGGCTAATTTTGAACATCCACTGGAGCCCTACTTATTTAGGAAAGCAACTGAGCTAAAGAACAAAAGGGAAAAGGAACCCATCCAAGGTCAGAATGGTCCCAAAGTGACAGAAAAGACCCTGAGATATGGTCTGGGAGAACCAAGCCCTAGAGGTAGCAGTGTATCTTTAGCATTGGAGCAGGCTGGGTCCACGCCTGACGGCTTTCCCAAATTCCCTTTAAAGGGCACCAGCACCCAGCATGAGCACAGTCACTCAGTGCTGGCGTTCAGAAGAGTACATGGTCAGTGCCATGGTGAACTTCCACCATCATGATCCATCAAATGTTGTTTGGCATTGGCAGGATCATGACCCAGGACTCCACACTATGCAAATGATCCCAAGAGGCCACAGGCCCTCTTGGAGCGGTTTTCTTTTTTTTTTTTTTCCAGAACTAAGTTTATTCATTGTTTTATTTTTTAATATTTATGATGGAGAATAGTCAGATATACCAGAAGAGAGATGCTAATATGAGTGAACTCCCATCTCCTACTCCATCTGCAGCAATTAGTGCTCTGTTCCATCTCTTTCTCTCTAATATAAAGGAACTTTAAAATATATATCACAATACCATTATCACACACCTGGGTCTTGAAGCCTGCAGACTCACTGCTCTTGATTCCAGAAGTGTTCGATTAACTGGAATATCATTTCCCACTGTGTGCAGATCTGTGGGAAAATACAGGGAACTCACATCTGTGAGCTTTGGATGGGCCTAGTCCATGGTAGCTAACAGAGCAGGACAGTGTTCAGATGGATGTGGCCACCAAGAAAGCCCCCTTCCAGAACATGCTTCCCCCTACATCTCTGTCATCTAATTCATCCCAGCCAGTGAAAAGGGGGAGTCAAATGGAGTGACAGTCTTTACTTTGAAGCTATGAGTCATTGTCTTTTCTTTGGAATAGGTTGGTAGTTCCTTAAATAGAGGATGAAAAAAATTATTTTTCTTCCTCTTGCCTTCAAAACAGGATGTGGGGTAAGGGGATTTATCTTTAATCATTGGTAGATATTACCGGATACCTCTCCCAAGCCAAATAATTTTTTTTAACTTGAAAGTTTGATCCATTTTGTTTGGGAAAGTTTCTTCTTACAGCTGTGGCGGTCTCAACACTGCCACATCTCTCTCCAGCTGTAAGATGTGAAGGCAGCGGGGCAGGCTTCCTTTTCCGAGTGCCCGACTAGTGCACCCCACCACTGTAGACCACTTCAGAAAGCTTTCCTACCACTCCATCATCACCATGCTGAGCCCGTGACGTCATTGCACCCAGCACACTGCACCTTGGGAAACTGTAGTTTTGAAGTGGACCTTATATAAGTGCTTCTCATGAAAAACAAATATATGGAAAGTCAAATTCTAACCATTTCCAGTTGAAAAGCCAGTAGTGTCCTAGAGAATACCCTAGACATTGTAGGTTAAACGTGTATTATTTTCGGTGGCTCACACTGCTGACTCTGCCCAGGTATATCTGAGTTACATTTGTTCCATGATATTATTGCAAAACAATTAAATAACCAGTGGAAAAACAAATTTGTTTTCTTCGAAAAGCACTTGTATTCTATTCTCAAATAGAGGAATGATTGTGTATTACATGACTTCATTTTCTTTGCAGCTTATGTGAGTATATTTAAAGCTAGTTTATTTTTTCTTTGTGTTTTAAAGTTTGTTTTGTTTTATTTTGCCTTTATCCTTTTTTTTTCCTCTCTTTTACTTTTTTAGTGTCAGAGTGCTCCTCCTCCTCCTCCTCTCCTTCAAGAACCGAATCTCCTCTCCACCTGTTTGTATCTTCTCGTCTCCATTCTCATCCCAAACCTGATACCTTTGTGTGGCCCCCTGCGCCTCATTCATTCAGTGACTCAGGTCCCCACCGGGAACCCTCTCTCTGTAAACATGGTTTTTCCTTTCTTGTCAGACCTGCTTCATTTACCTGATGTTCTAGTTTCTGATAATCTTCCTAACTGATAAGCTGGATAGGAAACTCCCATCAAATTTGTCACAGAGAAGACCTTGCTTGTTTGAAAATTCAAAGCTGGTGGGGCAGGAGGGATCCTGGGGTTGTAGACATTAGTGTCCAGGTTCCAATCTCTTCTGGAAGGAAGGAGACTGGTCCTCAACAGAACTTACTGGATTTTCCTAGAACATTACTCTTTACTCTTGGGTCCTTCTCTGGATTTGATAAAAATACATAAAAAGTAATCCTGTTAAAGAAAAGGCAAATTACAATATTTTGCAAATAATAATTTAATCCTAAAAACTTCTGGGTTTCAACTTAGAAATGAAATTAGTTCAACTACCATATACTAATCAAGGCCATACTCTAAAGATAATGGGCATATGCTCTTAAGTATGTGGTTCTCACAAGGGACTTTAAGGTCTACCAGTCTCCTGGGCTCCACCCACAAGGTAAATGGGCCTGAGGTGGGTCCCAGGAATCTGG